AAGTGTGGCTGTATTCTAGTCTTCCAGCGAAAACAAGTCCTCCTCAGCATCTCGAATGCCTCTTTCTGGCTCAGTTGCATCCCAGCAAGACTGGTCCAGTTTCTGCTGCATATCCGCGACTTTACCAGTAAGAAACTGCAGCCGCTTTTTGAGTTCCCTTTCTTCTTGCAACTTCTTTGATACACGTAAGTTTATTTCGCTCTCCTTAACCTCGAGACTCCGCATACTTGCTGCGATGGCCACTTCTTGCTCCTCCAATTTCGTTGAGATTTCGAGCCTGTCAGGCTTTTTCGACATACCGCAATTTTGTATGACCCTTACAACAGTACCTGGAGGGTTGGCCTCAACTACTGAATGTAGATAGCTGTCGTGAATTCCCAACTTATTGAGGCTTTCCGTCATGTCTTCTAAAGTGAGGGCTACCATTCCGTCTTGAGATCTTTCCTGACTGATGGTTGTTGCTTCTTTACCTTTTCCATCACCAGTCTTCAATTCTGGTAGAAGGTACAGAGACAAGTTAATCATGAACATAACGGATTATTGGGTCAATGTCCAATATAATGAATCCTTGGCAGATGGTTGAGATTGTTGGAGACCGAATGTACTAAGACTCAGGTGTGGCTGCATCTAAAATAGAAACCTATATATATATATATTGCATATGAAATGTAATCCACCTGGAATGTTTATGGCTGAAAATCTCGTATTATTAGAGGGTCCGTTTCATGCTCTTGCACTCATTCATCCATATTGTCCTTTTTGGGCTTACAATACTTAAACAATTAGCCACGCCGTGCCAGCACCGTACAAACCCTGGTGTCTGTTTGAACATTGAGGACATGTCTGCATTTATATTTAGTACTTCGGGCAGCTTTTGTCGAAAAGAATTCGACAACTAGAGAGCTATGAAAGAACAGGGTCTCACAATAAATGCGAACACCGCTCCTTGAAGAGTCACTATCCCAATTTGCAGGCGCACTTCTGAATCAATATCCAACCCGAGGGACTTTGGAACTAGAATATGACAAGGAATGGTTGAACAGTCACTGAACTAACAGAAAGAAAAAATGCAGAGTCATTTTGCGTGGTACGTCATCGGCTTAGCTTGCTATGGGGGTCACACAGACTTGCGTATTGTGATATC